TGTGGTAACAGGATGAGAAATTAGGTAATAAAAAAGCAAATCATTCTGTAATTGTGGATCGAAAGCATGCTGCCACATAGATCAATCTAGAAAACACTATGCTGAATGAAATAAATCAATCGCCAAAGGACAACTAGTGTATGATCTCACATACATGAAATAAATAAATACATAGAAACCAAAGATTAGGTGTTACGAGGGGTTTGAAAGAGGAGGGAAGGGGGAGTTTTCACTTAGGGGGCATTGAGTTTATGTAAATGATGGTGGAATAGTTTAGAAAAGGTGACAAGGATTGCACAATATGAAGAATGGCATCAATGTCCCTACATTGCATGTTCAAAAATTGTTGACTTGGTCAAGGTTTTGTTGTGTATGTTTTTTACCATAATGAAAAAATTTTTTAAAAAAAGTATCAAAAGCATGGTATCCCCTATATGGGTAGGCTGTTATTTAGACTTATAGGTCTCCAAGAATAAGTATGTACTATTTTCCCATCGGGAGCTCTGGTAGCATAGTACCTAAGGCACTTGACTGCTAACCAGAACACTGGCGGTTCAAACCCACTAGCCACCCCCCGGATGGAAGGTTGGGCAATCTACTTCTGTAGTGATACTGCCTCGGAAGCCCAAGGTGGGGTTGCTATGAGTCGGGTCTGACTCAACGGCCCATAACAACAACATTTCCCCATCACTTACCTCTAAGTTGCTGGAGTTCCATGTCCAAACTTTCAATATTACTCTCATAGAACTCAAGGTTCTCAGGGGTCTCTGCTCTCAATGATTCATCTTCCTTCTCCTCGAGCATGAAGTTGAGCTCTTCTTGAGGCCCGCTATACATATCCAAGTCCTGCTCCATTTCTTGAATCCTCACCAATACTAAGGGACATTGGGAAGTTTGGTCCAGGGTCCCTTCCGTATTCTCAGGGCTCTCCTTCTCTGGAGTCTCACAGCTAGGATGGTTACAGGCTAGAAGCTTGGAGGATGCTGTATTCATCCTCTGCTGT